GAGCTGCCGAAGCCCCGTCGTCATCCGACCACTCGGACATCGCTGTACTTCGTGTCCGAGTGGTCTGGTCACCGCCAAGCGAGATGCCGTCCGACTTGCGGGGAACGACACCCGCCGTCTTCCTCTTCTTCCGGGCTGGCTCTTCCGGGCCGGCTCGTCTGCCGCTGCCCTCTTCCCCCGGACTTTATCCGACACCGGAGGGGGACTCTCCGTCCGATCAGCGTCTGCGCCTCCGGACTCCGACGAGGCGCTGATGGCGCCTTCCTCAGGCTGAGCTGGAGGCCGGGCATCTACCGCCTATAGCCAATCGCCCCTCGGTACGCCCAAAAAGTATACCGCTCGTTCCTGTGAATGGATATTTTCATAAGTGAATCAGTTCACTGCTCGGCAACGCTACAGAATAAAAGGCACCGGAAACAAACAGTTGAGACTTTTACCTGAGGAAGCGGATTCGTGCAGTTAAAGGCCCTCGTCTGCTTTGACACAGTGAACGAGGCATTTGGAGCGAATAGCTCTGAGGCCCGCTCTAGCACTTCGTCCTTCGTCATCCTCCCCGTGCTCTCTCGGGTGCCGTCGGTGTCACCCTTGAAGTCGAAGCCTGGGTGGGCCCTAGCCTTGCACGGCTGGGTGCGGCGCACTATGAAGCTCGCCGCCACCAGTCCGTCGTTGATCTCCACACCTTTAATTAGGTTGAGGAGCTCCCTCACCTGCTCCATTTCAGCGCTGCTCGGCTTCTCCGACCAGTTCCTCTGGCTCTCCGGGATGTAGTCAACGTCGCAGCGGATTGCAGGGTGGCTCTGCTTCATGTAGAACCACTTGGCGTTCCACCCCTTCAGAGAAGTGTTTAGTGGTACATTGATGTACTCACTCGCCATCCCGTCCCGGAGTTGTAGATATACGCCGCCGACCACCTTAGAACCATCGCCGCCCTTCTTCTTCAACCAGAACAGGTGTCTGAAGAGGTTGAAGTGCGGAAGAACCCCTAGATACGCTTCGCAGAAGTGGATAAAGATAGAGATGTGCAAGATGGTGTTTGGGTGGAGGTTGCACAAACTAACTCTCCAGAACTCCAGCAGATCCCTCAGGAAAGGATGAACAGGAAATCCCAACCCACGCAAAAAATAATCCTTGAACACTACAGCTTCATCAGTGTGAGGTATTAGGAAGGGCTCACCGCTGGCTGGCCGCCATCCGACGGTGATGCGGTCAGGAAGAACGCCCGCCGCCACCATCCTGTTGATCTCCGCCTCCCCCATCCTCGACGGCACCCATTCCTCGTCACGGTTGGCTCCGGCGGCCGCCTTCTTCGGTTTCACAGCTCCCTTCTTCGGTGCCATCTCTCAGATCTAGTTTGGGATTAGCGGCGGATGCGCGTGTGGATGTGAATCGGGAAGCGCGAGGGCTGAGGAGGAAGACGAAGTGGCAAAGGTGGGATCGTGGATTGCGGCGGCATGGTTATAAAGCACCCCCACTCTTCGCATTCGAGGGTTTTTGGGAAACCGCTTCATGATTTGTGCCCCTCCGAATTCTCCGCAACCACGTGGTGGGCCGTTACCTGGGCTTTTGCGCAAAAAGCGGCCCGTATCGCCCATTTATCGCCGCAATTGGTTATTACTCGCCGAATATTCGCCGATTTCTCCGACCATTTATTAAGGCTCAGTAACCGCTACTATACAGCCATTACTCCGGTTTTTTCTCCACGGTTTGATTTCTCCGATATTTCTGCTTGTGGCTCGGGGACTACGCTACTACTACGACTTGGTTCCTCACCACGCTGGGGACTTTCTTCGGTTTGCTTTTGTTTCTGACCCTGGCACCACGTGGCTACGTCACCTACTGTCAGGCTCGGGGACTAAGTGGGCATACTTCACCTTGTGGTGAATGTGTGTTTTTTTTCAAGGCTCCGCCCGGGGACTGGCTACCTGCTCGGCCGGTCTTCTGTTTTTCATCTACTTTGGACCCTGGCACCACGTGACTACGTCACTTACTGTCAGGCTCGGGGACTAAGTGGGCACACTTCACCTTGCGGTGAGTGTGTTTGCTTTAATATGAAAAACTCCGCGTCTCCTAAAGTTGAAGAAGACTCTCTCCTTTCTCGTGGTCGGACTCTAAGTGGGCACACTTGGTCAACTGCGAGGAAATTTTCGATTTCGAACTTGAGCTCCTTACATCCTTATGGCAAGCCTTACTTGGGATACGCTGCTCGGCGACGGTTCACGCTGCTCGGCGACGGTTCACAGCTGCTCGGCAACTCATCACGGTGGTTGGACCATGAGTTTGGCTGCTCGGCGTTGTTCGCACCTGCTCGGACAAGTTCAAGACGGCATTGCACAACGGATACAAGGCGCTCGGGGACTAACTGTGGGGGGTACGACCCCGGATACCCACGACAGACCACATAGGCTGCGCCCCCAGGGGCGGCCCAGCCCACAAGACGAAGCCTTGCAGGGCACGGCGCTGCTCGGCGTGTCCCGCAAGACATCAGGAAGATATCCTGAAGATACTACGAGATCTGTTAGGATACGTATGATCCTATGATTCATATAATCTGTTATTACTTTTTGGTTATCTCCTAGATCTAACCGACTTGTAACCCTGCCCCCCCAGACTATATAAGACGGACAGGGACCCCCTCCAAACACACGCAATATCATACGATAACCGATATAATCCAACAGAATACAGGAGTAGGGTATTACGTCGCGCTGACGGCCCGAACCTATCTAACTCGTGTGTCTCTGTTGCCTTCTTATTCTCGATTACATGCATCTCTGTCGATCAATCTACCTTCGTGGGATACCTCTCGGAGGACTACCAATGATATTCTGTCGACACTTAGTTATTCACACTTCTGTAAGAGCTTTTGTTTCCCCCAGACTGCAGATTATCCTGAAGGAAAGGCAGAAGAAGAGCCAGAATTGCCACCAGAAGTCGTCTCAAATGCTGGAGGAGTACCCATAGTTGGAATGGTCTTTGAGAGTGAAGAAAAAGCATACGAGTATTATGTTAGTTATGCAGGAAATATGGGATTTAGTGTCCGGAAAGGATGTTTGGATAAAAATGCTAAAAATTCCAACAGGTCAAGGGTCTATTTCTGTTCTAGGGAGGGGCTTCGCTTAAAGAATGACGCCAAGAGACCTCGCCCAGAGACAAGGGTGGGTTGCCCTGCACGAATAGCTATAAAGTTAACACCTAGTGGTAAATATAGGGTCACAGAATTTGTGGAGGATCACAATCACCAGCTTGCTGCACCATTTGATATTGAGATGTTGAAATCACAAAGAGTGTTGGCCAAGGTTCAGCCTGGAAGCCAAGCTAGTAACATTCCTCCTGGGTACAAGAATTATCTTCGGTCAAAGTCTACCAAATATATGAAATCAGGGGATCTCAGAGCTCTGATGGATTATTTTCGAAGAATGAAGAGTGATAATCCATCGTTTTACTATGCGATTCAGGTGGATGAAAATAACAAAGCAACTAATTTCTTCTGGGCTGATGCAAGGTCAATAATGGACTATCATTACTTCTGCGATGTGGTCTGCTTTGACATGATCTACAAAGAATTTGACTGCAGCAGGCCCTTAGCTTTGTTTCTAGGCATGAACCATCATAGGCAAATGGTCATATTTGGTGCGGCTTTTTTATATGATGAAACTGTTGAGTCTTTCAAGTGGCTTCTTGAGACCTTTAAGATTGCTATGTGTGGGAAACACCCAAAGACAATTTTGACTGATCGATCTGTGCCTTTGAAGGAAGCATTGGGTGTTACATGGCCTGGCACTATCCACCGTTTCTGTGTGTGGCAAATATACCAGAGTACTGTTAAGTCCATAGCACATATGCTTATTACTTCTGAAGAATTCACAAATGATTTTAGACACTGTATATTTGATATCGAAGATGAACAGGAGTTTGTTGGCACATGGAATATGATAATGGAGAAATACAATCTTAGAGAGAATGAATGGTTAATTAAGCTTTTTGAGGATAGGGAAAATTGGGCCATGCCATACAATCAACAAATATTCTCTGGGGAGATTAGAAGCATGCTACATACTGAAAATGTTGGCACTAGGCTCAAAGAGTACTTGGACATCGATACAGATCTATCCCCTTTTTTGAAGATTTTTGAAAGTTCAGCAGAGAAGAGGAGACAAGAAGAGATGCAAGCTGATTACCAAGCCAACCAAGGGGCACCGAGAATACCTCTGCCATTGCTGTGGCAGGCTGCAAGTTTGTATACCCCAATAACTTTTGACTTATTTAGAAAGGAATGTGAACTAAGTATGGACTGTATGGCCTATGGTTGTGGTGAGTTTGGCTCTCTTTCTGAATATATGATTACTGTCAAGAACAAAACTAAGGACCAGCTTGTGCGATTTGACTCATCAAATGGTACGGTTGCATGTACTTGCAAAAAGTTTGAAAATACTGGACTGTTATGCTGCCATATATTAAAAGTATATGAGCTGAGGAATGTTAAAGAGATTTCCTCACAGTACTTTCTGAAGAGGTGGAGGAAAGATGCAAAGTTGGTGACAATGGATGAAGCCGATGGGTTTAATTTTGACATTGACACAAAATCTTCCATTCCAGGACGTTATGCAGCCCTTTGCCGCTTGTTCTATAAGATTGCTGCTAAGGCTGCAGAGAACGTAGAGACATTTGCACTGATGGCAAGCCAGTCAGATCAACTTCTTGCAGAAGTGGAAGGAACTTTGCGATCTACTCTGTCTGATAAGTCATCTGGACATTCCTTTACAGACCAATTAACTCACATGGCCCAGAATGACTACCTACTTAATAGTAGCCATGAAGCTCTAGGTTCTACTGGAAAGAAGAAGTGTGAAGTCGCTCGCCGTAGAAATGATTTGGAAACCAATAAACGAAAGAAAGCGAGAAAAGGTGTGTATATACGTATTCGTTATGGATCTTTGCCTTTTATGTTCCGCATGTAAATCTGAGCATTCTAAACATTTCTTTTATTGTCATTAACGCAGGGCAACCTGATGAAACAGAGGGTGGACCAAGTGGAGAGCTGAATATCACATCAGGAAACATACAGACAGAACCAAGGAATACTTCCAACCAGTTCATTCCAGATCAATTAATGCAGGTGAATCCTTAAATAGGGTGCTAAGTTTTTTTTTGAAGAAATAGGGTGCTAAGTATTACCATACGCTCTCTTGTTGGTCCGGAAAAATAGCACACTAGCTGATGCTTTCATCATGCAGGGACATTATGTACTTGGTCACAACTTTGGGCTTGGTATCTCGCAGAACCTTCACGACAATTTGAATCAGTTTGATCAGGTCTGTGTTCATCTCGAACCTAATTTTTTTTTATTGTGTTGATTAAGCAGCAAGATTCTCAGGTTTGTGTTGCCTGCAGGCCTCCTCGGTTTCAACCTTGCAACAGCAGCCGTTTCCTGGGAATGGTCAACTAACCCAAGTGAGTTCTACAGATTGTTGGCTTTTGTAGAGAAGTATATCCTTATCTTTTTCCCCCTTTGCATTTAATCTTCTTTTGCGATGTGAAGTAATAGCATACTCCTATGATCAAAGTATATATGCGCATTATGTTGAAAATCTGCTATTTTTTAGTCATGCTAAATGCCTTATTTATTGACATGAAAATGTACACTCCTGCAGGGATATCCTAGTGATATGCATGGGTTGCAATTCGTGGAGACAACTCCCCAAATCGATCATCAGAATGGCGACGAGGGTCAGTCGTCAATACCGGTGTGGGATTTTCTTTGATGCACCACCCTAGAATATCGGTGGGCATCTTGAACGCGGCCGTCGGTGGCCAGCATGTCTCACCTGCACTTTACCGTGGGTCGCACGTATGCTATTCCAATATTGCACACCATGCTTTTTGTCTGGATGAAGGAACGTCATCGAATGTCCTTTGCCAACGATGTGGAACCGATGCTGGAGCACAGAGTAGCTAGATCGAACCAGAGCACAGAGAAGGACGAAGGACCGAATGAAGATGGATGGATAAAGAGGAAAAGCAAAAGGGACATAGTTGTCGAAGGATGCTGAGATGGAATGGCGCGTGTTTGCGTCAACCAAAAGCTAAGAGAGAAGAAAGAAAACTGTCTATAGGCAGCCAAACCATCGTCTGTCTATTCGTGTCATATCAGCAAGCTTTCATGTGTATCACAAGATGAAACGACCAAGGAGAACGTATTATATCCCTTTACAGGGTCCGTTCGGTTGATCAGGAATGCACCAGGAATTATTCCAACTGCTCAAAACTTATATAAATTTGACAACCAATCCAGGCAGGAATGAATCCAGGGCAGGATTCACTGCTAACGGAACGAGCCCTCAATAATTTCATGCGGGGCAAGAGAAGTGGGCAGAGTAGTATTGACAGATGTGTTGTTGAGTAAAAGCTAGCAAGTCTGCAATTTTATAGCAAAGTCAGAGATGATGTGTTACAGTTGGAGAGGAGAGGGGCCTGTAGGTTATAGCAGAGAAGATTGAGTGATGATGAGAAGAACAGTGTATACAGCATGCAGGTGGAGTCAGGCGTGGAGAGTATGCGGCAACAAATCATCAAGAGTACTAGTAGTACAGTATTGGTACTAGCAAGATTGTTCAGTGAAGAGTGCCTCAATTTCCATGGCCAGAACAAGATCAGTGCCCAGAGGTTTAGATTTAAGCCCTCTTATAGAAGAGTATTAGATGCAGTTTTCGCAGTTACTATAGATTAGAGAGTAATATCATGAGGGGTAAGAAGATTATAGGAGAAGGGGCAGAGCAGTATAGATTTGATCTGTTGCTGAAGTCATATTCAGGAAAGGAAGGCACCGGAGTCTGAATTTCGATTGCAACAAGATGGAGGCCTAGAGATTGTAGCAGATAGATGGGGTGACGATGAGGACAGAGAGAACAGAAAAAAGAAGCAGAGAGATTCAGTGGCTGGTATGTGAAGGTGCAAATAGAGAAGTGACAGACTGCTATATGAAGTGGTGAATCAGAGAGATGTGCAGCAACAGAGAGTACTGATTGCACGAAGCATTGGCAAGTGCAAGCTGCTGTTCAGTAAAGGTGGTCTCAATTTCCATGGTAAGCAAGACTCATCACTCATGCAGCAGTAAAGAGAAGAGGGATATAAATTGTCAAAGCAATCAGGTTCAGTGGCAGCGTGTGCATGTGTGAACAGTTTCTCTGATGGGAAGAAGTGTAAAGTAGTGCTCTGTCATGTACAAAATACCTCCTCCGTTCCAAATTATAAGTCGCTTTGACTTTTTTGATACAACGATTTTGCTATGTGTGTAGATAATGTACCAAAAAGTAGTGCTCTGTCATCAATTTTGTTATGTATTGTCTACCAAAAAAGTCAAAATGACTTATAATTTGGAACGGAGGGAGTAGTTCAGTTCTCCACTGAAGTTCAGAGAAAGGGTTTGCCACAAAATAGTTCTCTTGATTTGCAAAGCTTGAACTTGATTTAGTTCAGCGATGCATATCCTTTGGAGATGTAGAAAATAACTTGGACCTGATCAGTTTATTTCTGGTGTAAAGCAAGCTAACTTCTCACTCTCACTACATGCATACAGAACCAAAAAAACAAAAGAAATGTTCTACATAAACTTTCTTATGGTGCTAAAAAAAAGACAGGGCGAGGACAAATGAAAAGATAGTATTGTCACCAGTGCTCAAGGTTACACAGTTTACTCCCAGGAGGCCAGGACAAAAGGCCGTGCTATAGTATTTCATTGGTATTGCAAGAAACAAAGGTCCAGAAAATACTGTGATCTTTCTAATATCATAGACCAAGACACCAATGCGGTACAAATCCCGTCTCAACTCTCAAACAACAATGCCGTATGAATGAAAACTATTTCACTGCATAAAAGCTTTGATTACATTTCAGTATGCCAGCACAAAATCTTGGAGAAAGATACAGTTTTCCTACCACCGGGATTTTGGACACAACTATACTTTTTTAGCAAGAGTCCGCTGTTTTGTGCCATGCTCCACAACTTTCTCTTCAACATGCAGTCCTTTCCTTCGTCTAACAGAATTCATAAGCTTTTTAGCCAAGTTTGGCCCAATGCTTGAACCATCTCCGAATTCTTCAAGCTCATCCTGTGTCTTTGGGACAAAGAAGGGGTCCTCAGGAATAGCTTCCCAGTGGCTAAGAACGAGGAGAGCACTAACTGCACCTGCAGTTAAACTCCTAAGTTGATTCGAAAATCCAATGCTCTCAGCGACTGGCAGGTAAGCATGCACTGTAAATAATGAGGTTCCTTCTTGCATCTCTTCTTTCAGAACCCTTGCTCGCCTCTTACCAAGAACTGCATAAGTTGCACCTAACTGCTCCGTTGGCGTGATCAACTCACAGAAGTACATAGCCTCAACAAGCCTTGGCTTGTTCTGAAGAACAGCTGCTCTGCATGCTTCTTTAACCGCAGTGATTACTTGACCGCTGAAGACATTGTATTGATCAGAGTGGTTGGTAGCATCAGAGCCGTCAGCAAATATGTAAGGCTCAACAATAAACGCAAGACCCCACATAGGTTCATCACATAAAGGCCCAGCATTAGTGGCAATCTGGAATCCTGAGACAATGCTGTTCCTTAGTGCCGTAGACTCTATATGCAATGATTCAGGAGCATCTGTTGCATATCCATGACCATTGTCAAGATCGTTATCTTTGGCTTCACATTCCCTCACAAACCCCAATTTCTCAGAGACATGAGCTCTGCCACTCACAAGTATACCTTGCCTTCCATCTTGGACAGTCATTGTACCACCACTTAATTTTGAATCAGGCAAAAGGACATTCGGACCAACCTGCCAAGGACCTAGTGACCAGATTCTTTCAAGGTGTCCAAGCCATGTCTTTCTATACCTGTCAAGTTTTTCTTTATCAACTTGCTTAGAGATTGTGTCTAATTCACTGTCTATGGCATCAATCATCCGCTGTCTGAGAGTTGCAGCAGAATCACCATCTTCCTGAGAAAGGCGAGGATCCAAAACACCATCCCTTTTTGCTGTTTTCCCGTCAATTATTTGACCAAGCAACTGTTCGCTTTCCTCAAGGACCTTAGTCAGAGCATTGGGAAGCCTCAAGACCTGAACTCGCACAGTACACCTCCCATTTGGAGTAGTCCTCTCAACAAACTCCTGTGGATTCTTCAAGCTCTCCACTAAACTGGCACCTTCCCCTTCGACTGTCTCTTTGAAGGAAACTAGGGGGTCTGAGACCACCAATTTGACCTTTGAAAATCTCTCCTCCAAATCCTTTATGCACCGCTCCAAATGTATCTCACCAGCAGCAGCAAGGACATGCTCACCCCTCTGCGAAACAGTATACTCGACAAATGGGTCTGCCCGGTTAAGAAGCCTAAGCCCTTTAACAAGAGCTCCTAGATCAGCTGGATTTGAGGGCTCAATCGCAACTTTAAGCATCGGAGATGCCTGGAACATCATACTCGAGAAGGGCCAGCAATTCTTGGTCGACGACAATGTGGCACTCTTCAATATATGCTGCCCAAGGCCCTGGATTGCAACCACATTCCCCGCAGCCACACTGGCAACTGGCTTCAGGCCTTGTCCTAGCATCTCATACAAGTATTGAAGTTCCACCTCCTGCACATGCTTCTGAACCGTATCCCCTTTCACTAGATCATACAATGGTGACAGCACAAATACCTTCTGCCCTGCATGAAGGACGCCACTGAAGACCCTTGCAAATGCCATAAAGCACTCCTCTGACTCACTACTACTATGGTGGTTCAACAGTTCACCATCCACTCCCTTCAATGGCAACATCTTAGATGGCACAGCAAACATCTTTGACACATAAACTACCACTGGCGCATCAGCACTCACATCACAGGCCTCGACACACCTCCGCACCCTCTCTGCCTCCTCAACAACCTCAGAGCAACCAGCAGCATCTTCTGGAGTAACCTCCCTCTTTGGCATAAGCCTTGCAACCCTGACCCCTTGAGCAGCAACAGGATCAGGTGTGCACTCCACCACCATATCCATCACAGCATCTGCCAGCGGCAGCCACCGGCTCATGACAGACTGCAGCACAGCCTTTGTATCTCTGTTCTTCAGCTCCCGTTCTGGAATTTTCAAGTCGAAGTTTTCAATCAATTTCTTCACCACCTGACTCTCACCACCGTCCTTCAGCACCAGCTCGTACATCTTCCACAGGGCACTCAACACAAACTCCACGAACATTGGCTGTGGGTCTGCGCTCTTGATAGCTTTCTTCCCCACAACCTTCCCCGTCTTCTTATCGAGATATCTGGGGCCCCACAATCCTTTCAGGAAGGCGGAGGGGTTGACTCTGGTCTTTCTGGCGTAGAGGTTGGCGAACTGTTGGGGGCGAAAGCCCCAGCCGTCAAGTGCACAGGCGAAGACGACATTGCCCTTGAGGGGCTGGAAGGCGTCCTCGTTGTCATCGTCGTCTTCAAAGTCCTCCGGTAGGTCCTCAGCTAAGGATGAAGAGCTTGTGGAGGGGCTGTCCTCCAGGGCGGAGAGGAGGGAGAAGTAGGAGTGGGAGCGCAGAGCGGAGTAGATGGAGTTGACGTCGGAGACGATGCGGTGGAGGCGGACGTAGGCCTCGGCGGGGGTGAGGCTGAGCTCGGTGATGAGGCGGTCGATCTTGTTGAGCACGAGGCAGGGCCGGAGGCGCTCGATGAAGGCCTGGCGCAGCGCGGCGTGCGTCTGGATGTGCACCCCCTCGACGGCGTCGACGAGGATGAGCGCCGAGTCCGAGAGGCGCGCGGCGGAGGAGACCTCGGAGCAGAAGTCGATGTGGCCCGGGGAGTCGATGAGGCTGACGCGGTGGCCGGCCCGGGAGCGGAGCGCGACGGCGGCGGACTTCATGGTGATAGCCCGCCGCTGCTCCTCGTCGAGGTAGTCCATGAAGCGGAGGCGGCCGGCGAGCTTCGGGTGGAGGAGCCCGTCCCCGCAGGACGCCACCAGGTGGTCCGCCAGCGTGGTCTTGCCGTGGTCCACGTGCGCGAGGATGCACGTGTTGCGGACGCGGCGCGGGTCACCCGCCGCCGGCTCGTCGGCCCCCTCCGTCGCCGCCATTGCCGTGGTGGCTAGGGTTTGGGCTTGGGGAGCTTTGGGTGGGGATTGGGGAAGGAAGACGGAGGAGGTTCTGGACTCCGGGGCGGTCTGAAGCAGGCAGAAAAGAAAAGGCTTTGCTTGGGCCTTGGAGCGTTCCAGGATGATTGTGTTGTTGGGCCGGTTGGGACACCAGACAGCACTAGCTATCTTCCTATTTCGATTTTGCTACGTACCGGTCAAGAAAGCTACTCGAACCGTTGGATCTGAGGCTGAGTTCAACTCCTGCCATCCGATCGTCCGGTTGTCGGACAAAACGAAAACAGCGGCGCTCCATTGGCAAGTCCCGTAGCAGAAACTTGGTCACCACGTGTCCTCCTTGAAAGGAAAATCGTAAGCAAAAAACTTGGCAACTACGAAACTTGTTCGTAAGTTAACCAGCAAGGAAGACTTTCTAGTTGCTCTGCCCAATTTCGGTTCGTTTTCTATACTATATAAGTTGATTGTATGCTTGTAGTGATTTCTTTTGCTAACAATTGCAAATTTGCAATCTAGTGTTTTTTCCGTACCGTAGGACTACATTTCAAATTGCTGTTTCCTTTTGACTTTTCATGTAACTATGTAAGCGTAGTGTACTATGCCCACGTGAGGTAAAATGCGCCTCCTTTACAAGGGTTTCGAGGAGTAAAAGAAAACTTACACAAACTACTGGCCATTCTGAAAGTCACTCTCGCTCTTTTATCACTTTGCAACTAGGGACCGTTTGAAACCAGGGCTAATCACTAGATAGCTAAAAATTAGTTCAACTTAACGCTAGCTAATAGGTGGTCTAATTTTTTACACCTAATTGTTAGCCAACTAGCTAGCCGACGACTTTGACTAATTTGAGCTAATTTTTAGTCCAATTAGTAACTAGCCCTAACCCATTGGATTTTATGAATTGGAACTAATATCTAGAAAGTGTTTCTTATTTCACTATTAAGATTATTGTCCAATTCCTTTCAATTCCTTGGAACCAAACATGACCTAAGAGAGAAAAAAACATCAGATTCTAGGCAAACACTAGACTTTGATTTGTTTAAAAAAGATTGCAAATCGATCACCATCAATATGTGAACAATAATATCACAAGGTAGCAGCATGTATGCAGGCATGACCTGTGGATATGATTGTGCTTATCATCAACATCAAGAACGCAAAGATTGTAAGATGAAATTAAATATATCACCAATATATATTTGCCCGAAAAAATTGGTCACACTTAATATGTGGTGCAGCGAGGCATACAAGAGTGACCGGATATATTCTATAACTCTATATGCCCTATGGAGCCAGCAAAACTGACACATCTCAACTCCAAATGTGTCATGCACCATGGACAGAGCAGACGATCATACCCAACTGACTTTCTGAAGAGATCAATCCAATGCAACGACTTTAAATTCTACCAGCGACTCATGTCAGGCTTGCAGCAGTACAAGCTTGGACGAAAATTAACTAGAAACTGACGAACGAACCTGAGATGGCTACGAATTATGCCACCAAGACTGCACAAGTGAGTTCCTATTCCTTTTTTCTCTCTGTATTTACGCTACGTGTTGCCCCTTCGTTATCTTAAGAAAGAAAGAAAATTGGAGCACCCTGAGGCCAACCATCCAAAGCTTGGCTTGCAGATGGGGAAGAGGTGATGATCCTGAAGCGGAGAGGTAGTAGTAGCTCAGCAGTAGGATGGAGTAGCCAGGGCCAGCTCGGTGCCCACCACGCTGATCCCGCCGGCTTCTGCATCGAACAGGACCCTCTTCCCCTCCAACAGGCTGGGACCGCAGGCCCCGGACGAGGTGTCCTGCACAGTCCACGATCAATTGGGACATGGATCAGCTTGCATGTTTCTTGATTGGTTAACTACTAGTATTAATGCTTGCTGAGATCAATGGAACAGCAGGCTGGTATGAACTAATTGTCAGATCATGTCAGACTACAGAACCAGAGGATAAAATTATAAAAAGACTTACCACATGACGTCGAGTCAGACCGGAGAAATGCATCAGTTTTTTAGGACTAAACCCAGAAGCAGCAGCAGTAACAGTGCCAAACAGCTTTTGCGGCTGCAGCGGCGACCTCGGGCTGGGCATGGACAGCTGCAGCTTGGCAGCGGCGTTGGTGGACGACGCTGAAGGCGGAGTAGAGAAGAGGGCGCCAAACATCACTTGTTCGTCAGGCCCGGACGCCGCCGCCACCAACTCAACTGCGGCTCGTGACGACCGCGGGAGCCCCAGCCCGGCGCTACTCGGGCAACTGGTGCTGCGAGGAATGATCCCCGGGCCTGGCGTGGCGGCGGCCGGGCAGCTGCTGCTGGCGCCCCCGCTGATGGTCATGCCGGACGCCATGCTCGGCCACAGGAACGTGCCCTGTGGCTTGCAGACGCGGAAGCTGCTCTTTCTTACCAGCCTGTCTTGGCTGCCTTGGATGACGGTGCCGTCTGTCCGGGGGATCATCTGGTCACTGGAACCAACATACAGTGCTGTGCGGGGAACAGCTTCACTAGGAGCCAGTTCTAGCTGACGTTCTGTTTCCGTCTTCAGAGCCAGTACCAGCTGATCCTGCACCACCCAATTTTGTATACTTCAACTCATGGATGATGGCAAATGTACATTTGCATAGGCTAGGCAAAATCAACAAAAACAGTGAATTGTCATGCAAAGAGCTACCTTGAAAGAAAGGAAGGAGTTCGAGAGATAGGTAATTTGCTCCTCTAACTTATCATTCTTGTCAGCTATATGCTCCTGAAATTAGACAGTGGTTCACTAACTGTATTCGGAATTACACAGAGCTAGCATACAAAATATGCAAAGGGATAGATGTTACAGATGAAAAAAGATATTTGTCAGTGTCATAGCTAGCTGCATGAATGTACCTTGAAGGATAACACCTCCTTCTTCAGCTCACCATTCATCTGAACCACATTCTCACACATGTCCTGAAAATAAAAGGCAAGATCGTTTCTGTGAATACAGCAAGTGAACTTAGCAAAGACATAGCTTTTTTCTTTTGCGAGGATATCAAAGTCATAGCATCCCTGTAAATTGAATAACTGAAGAAAAATTAATAACAGGCATGGTTTCTCAGTTCTCTTTTTGTTTGAAATTACTGAAGACAAATTAGTAACAAGCATGATTTCTCGGTTCCCATTTTGTTTGAAACTAACTCCCACATTTTTCCTAATAGACAATGTTGCTGCATGCATGCGCTTACCTTCAAACTAATCACCTGCTTCTCAAGCTTTTCATTAGCTCTCACAGCACGCTGATACTTCTCCTGACAAACAAATCGACAAGCTTCCATTAGTGCATCCAAAATGGGCATGCCAAAAAGTTTCTATCAGCTAGTATAGTCAATGTGAGAAGTAAAACAGAGAAACTGTAGTTAATGCTAGTCAGATCATGTACATCAGTACATCCTGGATTCAGAATTTCAGAGACTGGACAAGGAGTAGCTATGGTCTTACAGATAGCAAGCATTATGAAACATCAGAGAAACTGAACCGGGAGTCCAGGACTAGCATTCTAGCACTTCAAGAAACCTCCCATCAATAGACGAAATGATGTACATTAATTGCACAACCCAACATACAGAAACTTGGAAAATGCTCTAATGCCTATGATTTCCAAAAAAAAAAAGGTGCAAATAAATATCCAAATATACAGAAATATGCACATCAGTGCCACTGCCATATCTTGCTCAGTTTAATCAGAAGCATCAGCCTTAAAAAGTAAAGGGCCTGTTTGGTTTCCCGCACGCGCCAGCCTGCACCGCACCGGCCGAGCCAAGCCCTCACTGGCCAGGCTGCCATGATGCAAACGCCCACCGTTTGGTTGCCTGGGCACATGCAGCATGGCCGAGCAGAGAAGTTGATTGTTTGCCCGTGCGCACGAGCTAGCCTTGCACCGCTGCTCTCTGCTCTCATGCAGCTCGCGCGCTCGCGCCGGCCTGGCTCGACAGAAACGCTCACTCCCCACGTTTCTCTGGAGCCTGGCTACGAGGGGAATCTTGCATGAAGGCAGCCTAGTCCAACAGCTACGCCAACCAAACAGACCGCTGTTCTCGCATGTGGAGAGCCTGGCTGAAGGCAGATACAGGTAACCAAACGCCCCCAAAGGGAACAAACTGGGTAAAGGAGCTGATCTTTTGCATACCTTCAGTGAATTGTAGGCTCTTTCTGCATCGAAGTCCCCATCATCCTTGCACATTAACTGCTCCATTTGCCTTCACACACCACCACAAGAATAACTTAACATAGAACTCAGAAGAAATCCCTCTCTATGTAAGAACTTAACAGGGTTGTAGCACTGGTGGCTTGATTTACAACAAAACTACATACCTTTCAAAAGGAGTAGAAAAAGAGATACCTTTTTACACCATTGACCTCCTCGGTGAGCTCCTCAACCTGCCTCTTGACTAGAAGGTCGCCGGCGACGAGGGACACGTCATCACCTGGCTTCCATCCTGGTGGTGGCACCCAGTATGGATCAGACACACCGGCCTGTCGCCGTACCTCAGCAAGCTCGGCCGGCTCAAGCCAGTACTCCATGGCACCATCCGCATTGTGCCGGCGACGGAACCGGTGAACGCTGCCTTCCGGCACCTGGCCAGCCATGTGCTTGAGCAGGTGGTCAAGGAGGCCGGTGTCGCCGATGTGCTTGCGGGCTTCCTCCCGCAGCACCTGCCGCATCACCGGTGCGCCGAAGCAGGCATCGCGGGAGCGCATGATGTCGAGCAGGCTCTTCTCTGCTGCGGCGTAACGCTCGGCTGACCACCGGTCCTTGCCGTGCCGAGGGTCACCGTCCTTGGATTCCACGGTCCGCTTCTTCGCCTTCTTCGAACTCTTCTTGCTCTTCTTGCTGCCACCCTGAACCTTGTTATTCTTCTTGCCCTCGTTTCCGTTCTTGTCCTTACTGCTCCCTTCTGCCTCCCACTTCCTCTTACAATTTCTTTCACTCCTTTTAACTTCCTGCGTCGCTGGAGGC